GTTTCACATAATAATATAAAAGATATTAACTTAAAACAATTAGTAATCATGATACCAACGAATATACTTTTACTAATATACTAATATATATCAAGTATTGATATAAGTAAAGTTAATCTAATAAAGTTAATGTATTTGATTCAAATTTATACTAAATACATCTTAATTTTTTAATATATTGAATTATAATTTTTATATCATAGCACTATCCACTAATGAGTTGATTATTACACAAGCAATGTCTTAATATAGTGTTTAGTATATGTTACCATAGACATAGACATAGACATCATGCATGTCTCGTCTCGTGTATTGCTAACTATGACTATGATCTTCATATACATAGTAAAATAATAGATGATTTAGCGAACAACCTACTAGTACTTCTAATCCTCTCCAACAACCGACAAATGTGAGGACTTTGACCTTGGTTTTAAGGTCTTAGAATGCAAACGTGTCAAGGGATTTCGTAAGGATGTTCACAAGTTGCAAAATGTTTGGTACATTCCTGGTCTTTATTCTCTTAGAGATAATATGTAACAACTTGACTTTAAATTAATATTTTATTTTATTTTTGAAGTGTTTATACATGTGTGATTTGATTTATTTAAATTATTTTAGATTATTATGTCTCGAAAATCCATTACAGGTTATGTTGTTTTCTTGGGACCTTCACTCATATCAAGGAAATCCAAAATTAGAGGATTGTTTCTCGTAATAGTTCAGAAGCCAAATTAGAGGATTTGTGTCAAACACTAGAGAATTGACCATTGTCGATGGTTATTGATGTACATAGTATATAAGTAGTTTTCATCTATGTGACAAGGTTCACAAATTTTCATTGTTATTCTCTATAAAATTCACACGTCCAAGTTACATAGATAAAAATTTGTGAGAAATGTATGACTCTGCGTCTCACCTTTAATTTTAGCAAATTTACTTAATTGTTGTTTATGATTTTTCTTGATTTGTTTTATGCATTGCTACTCGTGATTTCTAAATAATCGTATTCACTTGTTCTTAACTAAAACATCAAACCTTCAAGCAAAAATACATTTTCTCAAACTTTATGCAAAAATTGTCCATATGATTTTTTTCGAGTTTAAAACCTTAAGTGAACGAAAATGTGTAATTTGATTTACTAAAGACATTGGTAAACAGTATTATAAAACACTTAAATTTTATTATTTTTAAAAAGTTAATTATAAACATACAATCAAGTGTGCATTATTTGGTAGCCCCTTATTCTCTTTACCATTCTATAATTCAAAAGCTACAATAACTATATAGAGAGTTGATGTAGTGGGGCAAAATTCTCAAACCCTAAACCCTAATCTCTTTTGGGTTGTTGTTTTTATTTGTGCTGCTAACAACAAATTCCTTTTCACGGCGGCTCCATTGTCACACGGTGTGAGGTTTAATCCAATAACAATTCATTTGTCTATTAATGTGGTTTTGAGTTGGATATAGATAATTGTTTTGGTCTCGTTTTAAAGTGATCCAGATCAGTCCGTAGTCTAAATATGTTGTTATAATGCTCGTCGAATCATTCATGAATTCACATTGTTTCTTATTAGTTGTTCGGACACCTAACTAAGATGCATGGAATTTCTTTCTCCTCGATTTTAGTGTTCTAACCTATTTGATCAAAAATATACATGATTTCTTGCTACAGTTTGTTAGTGAGTTTTTGGTTAATGAATTCATCATCATGTTGACGCTCGAGTTTATTCATCGTTTTCAAAATATGAGTTCAACGCTTGTCATTTCATGTTTTAATTTTTTTTTTTGCAATTTGATTTCAAGCCCCTGCAAAAGGTTATCTAGATTGTACACGTGAAGCGTAAGTGTATGTCTTTGAATTCATATTTCTTTTATTGTTTTGTTTTCTTTTTATGTTCACTACATTAGACTCTATATTCCAATTTGCTTATACGGTCTATTTTTTAATCTATTTAGAGTGATGTAGTATTTGTATCTATTTTGTTTAAAAAATATATATTATTTTTATATAATTATATGTATGTTAAATAGTTAATAGAACTTAGAGAATAAAATCGTATTTTTTTAATAAAAATTTAATAGAAGTATTTTTGTAAGAAAGTCAATAATGCATGCAAAGTTTTAAAGAGATCTTATATTAAATAATTACAAATATAAAAAGTAAGTATTACAATTAAAAAAATAAATAAATGTTATGGTAGTTTTAAGTCTTATATATTAAAAATTATTGATTCTTTCTCAACTTAAGTTTTGTTTACCTTCATACAAAAGTCTTATTAAAATAATATTTAAATATCAATTATACATTGTTGACATTTGAGATTTGTAACAAATCAAAAACTTTTGGTTTAAAAGAATTTATACTTATGAGATTTATAAAATGCAAGTTTAAAGTACAATTAAATATCCGTGAATCAAAGTTTTATTTCAAACATTTCATTCAATAATTAATTACTTAAAATCATAATTCTCACGAACATGTATTATTCAATGGGTTTTGTGTTTCACTTAGCTTATGTGTTGTATCTAAGTCAAATCGAATTCAATATCTATTTAAGCATAATTAAGAACTCTTGTAATCAATCATGGACCCCTAATATATTTTTTAGGTTGTAACGTGTGTATGCTAAAGAATTTTTTTTATGTTTTTTTATTTTAATTCAAAAAATCTAAGATCAAAAAAACATTTATTCTATTAAAACACTATATATACATATATTCTCTTCTTTCTTTTTCTTCACTCACAAACAACCTAATTAGTAGATTAATTTTTTTCTCAAGCTTTTCATCTTTTCTTTTTCTTTTTATTTCTCACTTTGACTATAAAGACATGAATATAATATATTCATAGTTTTTTTAGGTTTATGATTAAATATTCAATTGAAATTTTATTTTGAGAAAACAATTTATTCATATTTATGCTAAATAAATGAAGTATTTGAGCCAATTAACTGTAATCATTCAAATAAGTGATTAATCACAACTCAAAACTATTTAAGTCACATGCATTTTTTAATGGTCTAGTGACCAACGCTACTACTTAATTGGAGAATACTTATTTCATTTCATGAAGTGTGTGAAAATTCAAAAAAAAAAATATTGATGTTCGAAGATGCATATTCAGACACATCTAAAATCACATCAGCACTTGTAATTCATCCACACACCTCATTTTGTCAAAATTTGGTCTGAAAATGCATATCCATACATTTTATGGGCCTAAATTTGAATATGCATATCTGTAAAATCCATTAAATTTATTATAAGTTATCGGAAGCGTGTTTATTGCACATGACATGAGATATTTTGGAGATGCATCTCTGAAGATACTTTTGAATACATTCTAGGCAGCAACATTGTCCTAACTTTGACCTTTTTTAGACCAACTTGTATTTTAGGTCATTTTAGACCAATTTTTATCATAAAACCATTTGAGAGTGTCATAAATTGATTCAAACATACTATACATTCATTAAAAAACTCATATATTAATTAAATTAAAGTTAAAATGTACCGACCATACATAATTTGTTCTGAAACTACAAATAATAATACAAACAAACATAAACTACATGGTATGTCTAATCCCTTATGTTCTCCTCTGCCTGTGTTGTAAGGCATTTCGCGCCTGTGCACTAATGTCTTCTACGATGGCCAACTAGAGAATGCCTTCTTAAAAAAGTCCAGCCTCTATCCCAATCTCACCATAACCACAATACACTGACAGAGCAACAACACGTCCTCAGTGTGATCATCCTTAGCCTTTAATATCTCCTGATTAGATAGTCTATGTGGTCTTCCAGAAGTGTGTGGTGTCATGATATGATGTGACACCATATGAAACCATGTGATGTAGCTGTTTGCATAAGCCTATTGTACATGAGCTGACGCCCTACGATAGTCCTCTGCAGTTTAGAGGCTGTCATGAGTATATGAATTAAACACGTACAAAGATGAATCTCTGTAAAAGTCACTAAATTTTGAATTAAGGGTTGTTACAGAGATGTATCTCTAGACCCACCTTAATGTTGATACTAAGATGCATCTTCGAACTAAATATGAATGTCACACCAATTTATGTTGAAGAGTGAATAAAAAAGATACATTCAAAAATGTATATCCGAATTCTAGAAGTAGTTGTGATTTTTTACCGTGATGTAGAAACACTCTATAAGATTTAGAGAGCAATCCTCACTCCTTAATTAAACATGCCAGAAAATAAAATGTGGTGACCCAAATTCAAATTCGGGTTAAACTCTAACTACCAGATATGTTGTCCTACCAATCAAACCAGGATAAATCACATACATATGGTATTCAAAAATAAGATAAAACATTCTTTCAATTATAGTAAACTCATTAATCACAGACATTTTTCAGACGAGTCTAAGTAAAAAAATTGAAAAGTACAATAAAATAAATAAAAACTAGTAGAATAAACTCATAAATTATTTTTTAAAACCTAAAAAAATACAAATAAATATAACAAGAATTAGCAACTAGATAAACTAATAAAATTAATAATTTGAAAAACAAGTAAAAAAAAAGGCTTAAATGCACTTTTGTTATACCTAAGTTAGCGAGTTTTTGAGTTTAGTCTCTGTAATTTATTTATTTTTAGTCAAAGTCTTTATATTTCATTTTTTTGTGTGGATTTTAGTCCTAAAGCCAAAATCCACATGAAAAATTGAAAAAAAATCTGCAGAAACCTATAGATTTTTTTACACATTTTAACTTTAGAGATTAAACCACACTAAAAAAAATAAAATATAAAGACTAAGACAAAAAAAATATATAAATTATAAGAATCAAATTTAAAAACTCACTAAGTTAAATGATCAAGAGCCAAACAAAAATTAAGTTGGACATTTTAATTATTTTATAATCAGAATAACTAGGTCAACAAATTCAAATTTTACGGTTTTGAACTTTTGTGTGCAAACATATAAAAAAAATACAGAAAACCAAAACCCTAAAGCAGAAAATTAAAGAGGAAGATGATGAACACAACCACCGGCACCGGCGGCGGAGACGTTGACGGCAACGAACAACAACTCATCAAAACCATAACCACCATGCTAACAAACCACCAAAACCCACAGCACCTTCAACCTTTCATCCCTCACCTCACTCTCCCCATCATCATCTCAATCCTCTCATGGAAGCCACTCCACTCTCATCCACAAACCATAGTTTCCTTCTTCAAATGGTTCCAAACAAACGCACCTTCAACCCTCTCCGTTTCCCCCAAACCACTCCTCACTCTCCTCCCTCCTCTCCTCTCCCACCGCAAATTCTCCGATGCTAAATCCCTCCTCCTCGATTTCATCTCCTCCCATCATCCTCGCCATTCCCTTCACTCACGCCTCCTTCGCTCCGATCATTCCATCCCTAAACTTGTCCTTGATACTTCCATAGCTGCTTATGTTTTCTCACAACAACCTCAACTCGCTTTCGATATCTTCAATAAAATGAGACGCCTTCGTTTTCGACCGAATTTGCTTACATGCAACACTCTCCTTAATACTCTTGTAAGGTCTAATTCCTCTCATTCTATTCTTTTGCCAAGACAGGTTTTTCAGGATTCAATTAAACTTGGTGTTCAACCTAACACAAACGCGTTCAACATTTTGATTCATGGTTATTGTTCTAATAATAATTTCAACGAGGATTTTCGGTTGATTAATCAAATGGGCGAGTTTAGTTGTTGTCCAGATAATGTTACTTAAAATACTGTTTTGAATGCTTTGTGTAAGAGGAGTCAGTTGAGTAAAGTTAGGGATTTGTTGCAACAAATGAAGAGTAGTGGTCTTGTTCCTAATAGGAATACCTATAATATTTTGGTTCATGGGTATTGTAAGGTGAAATGGTTGAAAGAAGCTGCCGAGGTTATTGAATTGATGATTGGGAATGATATGTTGCCCGATGTTTGGACTTAGAATACTATGGTTAGAGGTTTGTGCGACGAGGGTAAGATTGACGAGGCTATTAGGATTAGAGATGAAATGGAGAATTTGAGACTTGTGTCTGATGTTGTTACGTATAATACTTTGATTGATGAGTGTTTTGAGCATTGGGGTAGCGTTGAAGCACATAAGTTGCTCGAGGAAATGAAGTCGAGGGGGGTTAAGGAAAATGCCGTGACTCATAATATAATGGTTAAGTGGCTATGTAAGGAAGGTAAGATTGATGAGGCGAGTAATGTAATGGCAAAGATGGTGGAAAGTGGGTTCTCTCCGGATTGTTTTACTTATAACACTATGATTAATAGTTATTGTAAGGCTGGAAAGATGGGAGAGGCATTTAAGATGATGGATGAAATGGGAAGGAAGGGATTGAAAACAGATACTTTTACTCTAAACACCATATTGCACACTTTATGCTCGAAGAAGAAGCTGGAGGATGCATACAAGTTGACTATAAATGCTAGGAAGCGAGGTTATATTCTTGATGAGGTAACATATGGAACTCTAATCATGGGGTATTTCAAGGATGAACAAGCAGATAGGGCGTTGAAGCTTTGGGATGAGATGAAGGAAAAAGGAATTGTTCCCACTGTTGTCACTTATAACACTATAATCAGGGGATTGTGTCTGTCCGGAAAAACTGATCAAGCTGTTGATAGACTGAATGAGCTTTTAGAGAAGGGTTTGGTCCCCGATGAAGCTACTTGTAACATAATTATTCATGGTTACTGTTGGGAAGGAGCGGTAGAGAAAGCATTTCAGTTTCATAACAAAGAACACTCGTTCAAACCAGACATTTTCACGTGTAATATTCTTCTCCGGGGACTTTGTAGAGGGGGTAAGCTGGAGAAAGGTCTTACCCTATTTAACACATGGATCTCTAAAGGGAAGCCCATTGACATAGTCACATACAACATAGTAATATCCTCTTTTTGCCAAGAAGGACGGCTTGAGGATGCATTTGATCTTATGGTAGAAATGGAGAGGAAAAATATGGAGCCTGATCGATATACCTATAATGCTATTACGAGTGCGCTTACTAATGCTGGTAGAAATGAGGAAGCAACAAAATTTGTTTCGAAATTTGCAGAGAAAGGGGAAGATGTGAAAGCTCAAGACACTTCTCCAGAGGTTGGTACAAGTGATATGATGTACTCGGAGCAAATAAGTAGTTTGTGTACTCAAGGGAAGTACAAGGAAGCAATGAAACTGTTTCAACAGGCAGAGCAGAAAGGAGTTTGTTTAAATAAATATACATATATCAAGCTAATGGATGGGCTATTGAAGAGGCGGAAAAGCATATCAAAGGCTGCCAAATAAGAATTACACAATAGATTGTCTCGGTATGTATTTTGGCATTTGGATTTTTGTTGTCCATAATGATGTATCATGATGTAAAAACAATGTTGTGACAGAACCAATGATGTCATGCAAGTTTTCATTTAGTTAGTTTTTTCAACTATGGTGACTAATTATCCTTTTGCCTCCATATGCATTTGTGTTATTTTGTTGGTTTCTAGAATTAACTGTCATTATTAGGACTTCTTATGCTTGATAACGCGAAATCGTATATATATAATGATGTACTTTTTACTAATCAGCGACCGTTTTCACTCTGATTTCGGATATTTCCACATTATTTGTCCAGTGTTTTGCAGGTATTCAAAGTCCATGCTCAAATGGAGCAAGATGAAGAAAACAAGCATTTACAGGTGAAAACCAGGCCAAAGACAGCAAAAACGAGTTCTGCTGATGTGACGACCGTCATACGTGTTACGACCGTCACAGGTCCATGACGACCGTCATGGAATTAAAATGCAGAAATTCTGCACGTGCTGTGAAGTGCTTGAAAATGCCAAAAAGGAGTGAACCACTAACTCCTATATTTTATGATATCAATCCCATTTCTTGAGGAAATAAACCGTTGGAAATCCCATCTATAAAAGGAGGGAGCTGGTACCAGAAAAAGGGGAGCCGCATTGAAGAGACGAAGTGCTGCCAATTTACTTTCAGAGCAATTTTCAGTTTCCCATTTTCTTATCGTTATATTGTTTCCTTTTTCTTTCTTTCCTTGCAATTGTTGTTTTACTTTCCAAACTTTATTCTGTACGAGTAATTGGCATAAAGACTAAATCCTGCCGTCATTTCGGAGGATTTCCCAAAAGCTAATCGAATTGTTTACAGGTTCTTATTTTAATCGTTAATTGATTTCCATTCCCCATTATAATGCATATTATTATTTTCTGCCATTATTTACGCGTTGTTAATTTATATTCCATGTCCGGCTAAATCTTAAGTAATCGGTATGTAATAAGTAATCGGATGGGATTCGATAATTAACCGGTGTTTACTTTCCTTTTCAAAACTTATTTATGGCTTCAGTTTTTAAAGTCAATTTTTCTAAAATAAATGTTCGTCGCGATAGCGAGAACTTATTTAAAAGCAGTTTTGCCACAACAGTGGGAAATTCACAAAGGTACGAACCAACAAGCGACAGCTGAGGTTAAGTCTGGATAGTAAAAACTAAGCATTCATTTTAAAAACAGCGACAGCGCTTTAAAAAGGATTAGAACTTAATGGTTTTCAAAAAGTAATATTAACCGCGAACGGGATAGCGACAGCATACGTTCTGCCTTAGAGTTGCGACTAGCGTCAACAACCATAGTGAGACAAAGGTCTTTAAACCGTCACTTTCTTCTTAAACTATTTTTGAAAACACCCATAACACCGGTGACTTGTAGAATCCCTGAAGAACTAACATATTACATACCGGTTCAAGCATTTATACCTTAATTAACGCTTTAGTTCCTTTATAGTTTACACACCTATTCTGCTTTTATTCCCCTAAAGCATTACCAACCTAGCTAAACACAGTAACATCCGAAAATACTAGCTTGATTACGAGTGCCTATGGGATCGATATCTATTATTACTACGCGATAGACTGTGCACTTGCAGTTAATTCAGTTAGACATAGAAACTCGCGATCAAGTTTTTGGCGCCGTTGCCGGGGACCCGTTTAGTCAATAGTGTAATCCTTTGTTACACAGTATAGACTAGGTTAACTATTCTCTCTCCCTCTACTCGTTCTTCGGTTGTATGCCAAGTACTCGCTCACAAGGCGACATCTTACAACCTACAATCGCCGAACTAGAGCGCTTCTTACATTTAAGAAGGCGCATCCTCGAATATCAACGAAAACACAATATTCCTGATCTTCTAGCTCATCCTCCTATTGAAGAAGCAAAGATGGCTGACGGGCCTCAGAACAAACCGCTGAAGGACTACGCTACACCCTCTCAGTTGGAACCTCGAAGTAGCATTGTTGCCCCAGCTATAAATCGGAACGATTTCGAACTGAAACCGTCATTGCTGTCAGCTGTACAACAAAATCAATTCTCAGGAAATGCAACTGAGGATCCGAACGAACACTTAACAAAGTTTGTGCAATACGCAGACACAGTGAAGGTAAATGGAGTAACTCCAGACGCAATAAGACTTCGCCTTTTTCCTTTCTCTCTTAGAGATAGAGCTTGGACATGGTTACAATCCTTACCATCCAACTCCGTTACGACGTGGGAACAGTTGAAGAACGTTTTCTTAGCGAGATACTTTCCGCCAAGCAAAACTGATATGCTTAGAGCTCAAATCAACGGATTTCGACAAAAAGATACTGAATCTCTCTACGAAGCGTGGGAAAGGTTCAAAGATATGATGAGAGCATGTCTTTACCATGGTTTAGAAGACTGGGTGACGATCCATACTTTCTACAATGGGCTTCTGTATAACACCAGATTAATGGTAGACGCCGCCGCGGGCGGTACACTTATGGATAAGCCATACGACGAAGCCTATCAACTTATCGAAAACATGTCTCAGAACCACTGCCAGTGGGGAGGTGAACGAACTCCAGCAGAAAAACCTGCGGCGAAAGGTGGGATGTACGAGATCAGCAACCTTGGAAAGTTCAACACTAAGGTAGATGCTCTAGCGCAGAAAATCGACAGTCTGACCGTTACCCCAACTGCAACTGTAGATGTTGTAACTCCAAACTGTGAGTTATACGGAATCGCCACTCATAATGCGCCCGAGTGCCCATTATTGGCAGGAATCCCACCAGACCAAGTAAACTACGCTCAAGGAAATCCTTACGCAAATACTTACAACCCAGGATGGAGGAACCACCCAAACTTTTCCTACAAGAACGATAATGCCTTGCAAGCACCCGCTGCTTCGCCAGGATATCAGAAACCAGCCGCTGCTGCCCAGACTGCCCCTAGGAAATCAAACCTCGAAGTGATGATGGAAAAATTCATAGCTACTCAAGCTCAAACAAATAAAGAATTCCTGAATCAAAACATACACACTAGCGAGCAAATTAAACAACTGACCGGAAAAGTAGACGCTTTAGCCACCCACAATAAGATGCTCGAAACGCATATATCACAAGTGGCTCAACAACAAGCCTCTGCAGCCGCCCTAGCTGGAACATTTCCAGGCCAGCCAGAACCTAATCCAAAAGGCCACGCAAACGTTGTTATACTGAGAAGTGGAAAAGAATTGGAAGACCCAACAGATCCTAGGAATGAAGATTTAGTAATGCATCAGAAATCTGATAAACCAACCGAAAAGGAGTCTGAAACAGAAAAGAAGGAATGTGACGAGCAAAAAGCTGGAGGCAAAGATGAAAACTCATATGAGCCTCCAGCGCCATATAAACCACCTATCCCTTATCCGCAAAGATTAATAAACTCCAAAACTTCAGGATAATTTAAGAAATTTGTTGAACTTCTGAAACAGCTAAACATCACTATTCCTTTCACAGAAGCGATAACTCAAATGCCGTCATACGCTAAGTTTCTTAAAGAAATCTTGTCTAATAAAAGGAAAATAAAGGATAACGAAACAGTTACACTTACTGCCGAATGTAGCGCAATCATTCAAAACAACATGCCTCCTAAACTAAAAGACCCAGGTAGTTTCTCCATACCTTGCGTCATAGGAAAGTTCGTTATAGACAAAGCTCTATGCGATCTAGGAGCCAGTATAAGTGTCATGCCTTTATCTATATGCAAAAAGCTGAATATGGGAGAACTAAGACCGACTAAAATGTCCGTGCAATTGGCTGACCGATCAGTCAAATATCCCGTCGGTGTAATGGAAAACGTTCCAGTACGCATAGGCCAATTCTAAATCCCAACCGACTTCATAATCATGGACATCAAAGAGGACTCTGTCACCCAAATTATCCTAGTAAGACCATTCCTAGCGACAGCCGGAGCTATCATAGACGTAAAGAAAGGAAGGCTAACATTCGAAGTAGGAGAAGAAAAGATAGAGTTCATCCTTACTAAGTTCTTGAAGGCACCAACTATAAATGACACATGCTATATAGTAGATTTCATTGACGAACGCATACGAGAATTAGAGAAGGAAGAAATTGCATATTCTGAAATCATGAAAATCCAGATCCCTGCTATTCATGAAGACGACAACTGGCGTGCACCATACAAAGATGATAGTCTGAGCGAGATCTTAGCACTAACTCCAAATCACATGCCAGGTCCGAAAAACCCAGCTTTAGAACTTAAAGAACTACCTAAAATCCTCAGGTACGAATTCTTAGATACAGAATTCAAAAGACCAGTAATAGTCAACGCTAATTTAGGACAGTCAGAAACTGAGCAATTACTAGAAGTCCTAAGGAAATATCCAACTGCGTTAGGCTATAATATAAGCAATCTAAAAGGCATAAGTCCTTCCATCTGTATGCACCGTATCATGCTAGAGGAAGACTGCAAAACTTCAAGAGAACATCAGAGAAGGATAAACCCGATCCTAAGCACTGTAGTCAAAGACGAGGTGAAAAAGTTACTAGACGCAGGAATCATATACCCGATCTCCGACAGCCAATGGGTCAGCCCAGTACATGTAGTACCAAAGAAAGGAGGCGTTACTGTAGTGAAAAATGCGAAAGGTGAATCGATAACCCAAAGATTTGTGACCGGAAATAGGATGTGTATCGATTACAGAAAACTGAACAAGGCGGCTCGGAAAGATTACTTCCCTTTACCTTTCATAGACCAGATGTTGGAAAGACTAGCGAAACATTCGTACTTCTGCTATCTAGATGGTTATTCGGGATTCTTTCAAATTCCTATTCACCCCGATGACCAAGAAAAGACAACATTCACCTGTCCTTATGGTACTTTTGCTTATCGCCGAATGTCGTTCGGACTGTGCAATGCTCCAGCAACCTTCCAAAGATGCATGATGGCAATCTTTGCGGATTACATAGATGACATCATGGAAGTGTTCAT